ATAAAGATGCAATAGCATATATAAAGATGCAAAAGTTAACTAAATTAATTACTTAAGTTCAATATTCAACATAAAGATGCCAAAGCCAACTAAATTAAGTATTTGAGTTCAATAGTGAATAATCAACATATTAATATAAACAAGAGCTGTCTAGTTCCAGATTAGAGAAACAGAATTTCTTAAAAAAAAAAAAAAAAAAAAGTGTTGTCCTGTTCTAGTTCAGAGAAACAGATTTCATAAAAAAAGAAAAAGAAAACAGAGAAACAGATTTCATAAAAAAAAAAAGAAAAGCAGAGCTACAACTAGATGAAGAAGAAGCGTAGTATTACAAAAAAAAAAAAAAAAACCCAGAAGAATCAGAAAGTAGAAGAAGAATCAAAAAAAGATTTCTGCTGAAGAAGAATGAGAGAGAAAAAAAAAGAGAGAAAAGAAGTCTGCCAAAGAAGAGAGAAGGAGTCTGCCGAAGAAGAATAAGAAGGAGAGAGAAAAGAAGAGAGAAGAAGAATTCTGCCGAAGAAGAAGGAGAGAGAAAGATTTCTGCCGAAGAAGGAGAGAGAAAGAGAGAGAAAAGAAGAGAGAAGAAGTCTGTCGAAGAAGGAGAAGGAGAGAAAAAAAGAGAGAAAAGAAAAGAGAAGAAGAGAACTTACCCGGATTCAGATGAGCAGAGATGAGATCGTGATTCGTGAGAGTAATCGTAGTTGCAGATTCACTTTGATTCAATCGCAAGCCCTAGCCCCTTCTTTGAGTCTTTCTCTTTGATTCACTTGAATCACTATCCTTTTTTTTTTTTATTCTTTTTCTTTTTTGTTTTGTCAAGTTGTCAACTAAAACAATAATAATAAGTTATAAGCGGTATAAAAATAATAAACATAGCATAGTATTTATATAAGTTAATAAAAATAGTAAACATATCATTTAAAAGGGTCAAGTTTACTAAGGCGCGCCTTTTACACGCCTTGAGCTCCTCACCGATACAGAGGCGCATGCCTGATCAAAAGAGCTCGCCCGAGTCCCTTATAGGCGCAACTCATATGCCTTGGGCGCTTTTAACAACTGTGAGCAGGAGGGACAACAATCTGTGGAGTAGTATACCCACCAATAGTATCGGCTACTGCGGCAATGCGGCCACGGCCAGAAGGACGATTGCAAGAAAATTTATGCTTTAGCTCGGGATGAAGCTTAAAGCAACGGTACTTTACATGACCCGTGGCTCCACAATGTTGACAGATAACCTTCCCCTTTAAAAGTCTAGAATTAGCAACAAGAGCCATCTGATTCACTGGAGTCTCTAGTAAAGCTACTGGTTGAGAGACTTAACGTCTATGCTCCTCATGGTCAACAGTAGCGAAGGCATCATATAAAGCAGGTATAGGAGAGGCATTTATGATCTGAGTTCTAAGAGCATCATACTCTGATCGTAAACCTTTAAAAAGCTAGTAGGTATGCTGGCGGTCTAGTCTCTTGACCAAAAGAGTTGCAGCTTCTTCAGAGAAATCGGAGAGAGGTTCATATTGTGCTAATTCTTCCCACCTAGACTGGAGGTACCCAAAATACTCTGATACTGACAGCTTGAGTGCCTCCTGAGATGCATGAGCAATCTCCTGATAGAGTTCAAAGATACGAGCGTCATTGCAGGAATGGGCATACATCTTGTTAAGGGCTTGCCACAGACAAAAAAACTGAAGTGTGAAACATGAACATATTATAGATACGCTCCTCTATTGAGTTGAAGTTCCAACCCAGAATGGTGCACCTGTCCATGTCCCATGCAATATATTTAGTATCCGTCTTTTCCGGTTCCTTCCTTGACTAGGCTCAAAAGCCAACCAGTTTTCCCTTTCCCTCCAATATAGCGTTGAAGATAACGGGACCAAGAAGTTGCGCCCATTCAAGAGCACACTAGTAACCCGCTGTTTCGGAGTTTGATGTGCCGAAGATAAAGTATGCTGGATGGAGGATAAAGTGTCCTTTTGGCTACTAGAATCAGTTATAGTACCAAAATAAGACTGGTCTACACGTCAAAGCAGGAGGAAAGAAAAAAAAAACAAGGCCGGAAAAATCGGCGCTTTCCTCCAAATATGCTGCCGAACAAACACCGGCAGCCCACAAAGAAAAACAACACCAGAAGGACCCATAGTTGTTAAAGGCGCTGGAGGTGCAAGGCACCTACAGGTGCATGAGTTGCGCCTGCAAGGGACTCAGGCGAGCCCTTTTGATCAGGTGTGCGCCTCTACATCAGAGGCGAGGAGCTCCAGGCGTGTAAAAGGCGCGCCTTAGTAAGCTTAACCATTTTATATGATATGTTTATTATTTTTATTAACGTATTTAAATGCTATGCTATGTTTATTATTTTTATACTTTTTATAACTTATTATTATTGTTTTAGTTTACAACTTGACAAAACAAAAAAGAAAAAGAATAAAAATAGAAGGAAAGTGATTCAAGTGAATCAAAGAGAGAGACTCAAAGAAGGGGCTAGGGCTTGCGATTGAATCAAAGTGAATCTGCGACTGCTCTCTTACGAATCACGATCTCATCTCTGCTCATCCGAATCCAAGTAAGTTCTTTTCTTCTCTTTTCTTTTCTCTCTCTTTTTTTCTCTCTCCTTCTTCAACTTCTTCTTCGGCAGACTTCTTCTCCTCTTTTCTTTTCTCTCTCTTTTTTTTCTCTCTCCTTCTTCTTCTTCGGCAGAAATCTTTTTATCTCTCCTCCTTCTTCGGCAGAATTCTTCTTCTCTCTTCTTTTCTCTCTCCTTCTTCTTCGGCAGACTTCTTCTTCTCTTTTATTTGGCAGGCTTCTTTTTTCTCTCTTTTTTTCTCTCTCCTTCTTCTTTGGCAGAAATATTTTTTTGATTCTTTTGGTTTTTTTTTTTTTTTTTGATACTACTCTTCTTCTTCATCAAGTTGTAGCTTTGCATTTCTTTTTTCTTTTTTTTTATGAAGTCTGTTTCTCTTTTTCTCTTTCTTTTTTTTTTTTTTTTTAATGAAATCTATGTCTTTTTTTCTTTTCTTTTTTTGATACTACTCTTCTTCTTCATCTACTAGTAGCTCAGTTTTTTTTTTAAAGAAATCTGTTTCTTTGAACTAGAACTGGACAGCTCTGTTTATATTAATATGTTGATTATTCACTGTTGAACTCAAGTACTTGATTTAGTTGGCCTTGGCATCTGTATGTTGAATATTGAACTTAAGTAATTGATTTAGTTGACTTTTGCATCTTTATATATACTATTGCATCTTTATTGGGTGGTTTTTTTTTTTTTTTTTTTTTTTTTCAACATGCGCCTTGCTTCAGTTGGGCGTGCCTCACCTTGCGCCTCAGGCTCCAGGAGGCCTTTGCGCTTTTGTGCGCTTTGAGCCTTTAACAACTATGGAAGGACCCTTAGGTCATAAAAAACCTAAGGGAATTCTCCTAAAAAAGGAGTAAAAAACAGAGGGTTACCTGTGGGGATCGGCGCAAGGGCTGGGAGGAGATGGAGGTTCGCCGGAGGTGAGGGGTGAGGGAAAATGGATAGAGAGAGAGAGAAGGTGGCGGCATTGGGGAGGAAGATGGGAGAGGCGAAGGTTTTTGTTTTGCTTTGATATCAAAAAGGAAGAAGTTTTGGGTTTTGACTTGCTCAAAGCGAGAGCCAATAGCTATATTTATATGCAAGAATAGGGTACAAAGAAAGGAAACCAAATCAAAGAAAAACAGGAAATATGCGAAAATCTACGTGATCCCATAATTACGGGGATCTTATCTACGTGATCCCATGATAATAGAGATCTTACAAAAAAATCTAATTAAAGGCTGAAAACAGGTAATAAAAAAAAAATAATAATAATACAGATATTTAGCGTACATTTGCCTCATAAAAATAAAAATAAAATATTATTTTTATTATAATATAAATAATAATAAATATAATATTTCAACAATAACATCTCATTGTATTTAGCGTACATATGCCTCATTAGTTACTCATGGTACCCTGTAAGTGATCATGATACGTCATGCTATTAATTCCTAAACGCTCACAAGCAAGTAATCACGGAGCCATGTGGATTGTCCCATTGAGCTGCAGCCTTTAGAGAGTTCACAAGTGTCATCCATCCTCTCTTTAGACATCTGCTAGGGCATTGTTTCACCTACACTCTATGACTGTAAGTTAGCCTTGGCCTTGCATTTAAGAGGCCAAAATACTCTTACCTGACAGACCAATCTCATTATAAGCCCAAGTACCTCTGTCATGACTGATACCTCTATTACCTTAATCACCACTTTCAATTGTCTATCCCCATCAGCTGTTTTTAAGTATCCTATTGCATTGTTACTCCAAGGAGTTCTCATGTATAAAACCTGAGATTTGCAATCTTTGTTGGCCCTTGCCGTGTAGACGTGTAGTACACTGATGGTCTGGATATGTTGATGAGGATACACTGGTAGTATACTGATGGTCTGGATATGTCGATGAGGAGGTCTGTCTGCTGGTAAGGAGACATGCTCCTCTGGAGGTGTATACAAGCTCTTAGTACTTGCGGTTTGTGTTTTTGCATTTCACGTCACTATGGTTTCCTCTCATTAAACCTTTACCTGTTTGTTCTGGTCTTTTTCTTTTTCTTTCTTGTGTCATTCCTCCATTTTTCTCCAGTTCGTTGTTTATTTTCATTACTCCCTCTCCTTCGTCACCTCACCCATCTCTCTCTCTCTTTCTCTCTGAATGGTGGTGCCAAAAGCTTGGGCGTTCATCTGGATGCGTGTTATTGTCATGTTATTTCTGTTTGTTTTCAAATATATATACACGTGATGACTGACATTTATGTTTGGAGATTGTCATTGTTGGATTTTTGCCTATTAAGCTTGCATTATCATTTATTTTTTTAAATATATTTGTTTACAATATTCATTATGATTGGGTATCCTGATTTGGTACATTGTTTTTGCTGTCATCATGTCTCAAATGTAAAAATGATTGAACAAGAGTTGAGGGAGAGTGAATCAAGAATTTTTTGTTGTTGCAGACCGACTGGGATGGTGGTTTCTATCCACTTACACTCCACTTCAGTGAGGACTACCCTAGCAAACCCCCCAAGTGCAAGTTCCCTCAAGGTTTCTTCCACCCTAATGTCTACCCTTCTGGAACTGTGTGTTTGTCCATCCTCAATGAGGACAGTGTAAGTGTTTGCTACTGTTCTTGCATGTTTTTGCTGATCCTGCTGTTTGGTGTATACACCATTCAATTAAATCGTCAGTTACTAATTTGTTCAATGTTTTGTCTAGGGATGGAGACCGGCAATAACAGTGAAACAAATTCTAGTGGGGATTCAGGATTTGCTTGACCAGCCCAATCCTGCGGATCCTGCACAAACTGATGGGTATCAGCTCTACATGCAGGTATTTATCCCTCTTAAAATTTCACGTTCTTGATTTTGTTTATTTATTTATTTATTATTATTATTATTTTTGTTTTTGTGAGTAATCTTTGTAAAGTGTTGTTCCTGAGGAACAGGATTCTTCTTTTTTAAAGAATGTGATACTGGCATTTGCAGGATACTGCGGAGTACAAGAGAAGGGTGAGACAGCAGGCGAAGCAGTACCCATCTCTTGTGTAATGTCATTGTGTGCTTTTGCTTGGTAATTATAGTAGACTGTAGGTGTCTTTTGTCTGGTTGTGATTAACTTATATTGTTAGTGTTAGTTTTTGTGGTGGTGATTAAACATGGCTTAGGAGAACTCTAATCCTGCTAGTTGGCTATATCAGCTGTGTGGAGATGCATGTTTTGTTATGGTTTGCATTGCTATATGGCAATGTGATGATTATTTCAGGACTTGCTTTGCTTTGTTATGGTCATAGAACTTTAACCATAACTTGCTATGTCCCTATTCTAGATAAAATGTAAAAATATGGTTTACCTATTATGAAATGTGATTCTTAAGCTGTTAACTTCCATTATGGAGAATATTATAGGTTTGACATTGGTGTTGATGGTATCAAGAGCTGGTCTGCTGACTAGAAATGTGATTGTAAGAGAGATTTATGAAGTTGTCCTACCATGCGATTTTGACTTGGAAGAGTTTGCTGGTAAGAGATCCACAAAATGACCTACCAAGCAACTTTTACGGGGAAGAGAAAACTGAAAGGTTCGATCATGTCTCTGATTAGAGCTAGAAGATTACACTTATATTTTTGTGGATCTTTTATGAAAATTTTGCCTGATAAATATCCAACTTTACAGTTACCTCGAAGGGCTTATTGGTCAATGTGGTGTCATTGGCGCGCTAAATAGTTTTGAACTTTGATCACTACAAATCGATGTCTGTAGTAAAAAGGATTTAGAGGGAATGATGCAACTCCCTATGGCTTCGAATTGCTTTGGAATTTTTTTATTTTTTTTTCCATCTCTTTTTAAAGGATTGAAGTGCATTGATTGACAATTTTTTTCCCCCTAAGTGTGCATTGATATTAGCATTTCAATAGCTAGTGCCATGATTTTTCTAGCTGCATGCTGTTACCTTTATTACCCCATATTATTGAGCTCCATGGAATGATAGAATGATGAGGTTTCTTTGGAGGGCTTCACCATTCTGAGACCACCTTCTCTTTTCTTGCAAAATGATGCTCGATGACTATTTGTCTTGTATATAATGCTGCCATGGCCATAAGTGATCCGTGCGGTTTGTTTTAGGAGCTTGGGTTTCAGTACATTGTATTGCCCGGAAGGAAAAGAAATAGAAACGGAAGATGTACTATTGCCCCACAGTTGGCGGCAGGGTGCTGTAGAATCGACATTTGTGGAGTCAAAACGGAAAGTGGAATCCTTATTCTCATCCCACGGAGGAGCACTAGCCAGATTTACATATCCTAGAACATAATAACATCAACAAAGGGCTTTGGCGCCATCCCTCCGGACGAATACCTGACTTTTGACCGGTGGAAGTGCCAGGAGGAGATCGCTATGACTCCCCACCCCTTGAGGTCGTTCTTTGCCATCGTTCTTCATCCTCTCCACAAAATCTCCTCTTTAAAACTGTGTTCTAGCGACTACTCGTGTTTATAAGTGGCTTGTCTAGCTTTACGAGCACTGGCAATCTAAGTTAGCAGAATTTTGGAGGATCTGGTTAAAGATTCAGAAACATTATATGCTCAGGTGGAGCTACTGAAGGGCTAACTTGGGTTAAGTATAGGTCCCAAAAAAAAAAAAAAATAGTAATACTGTACATCAGTTTAGGTTCATATAATATATTACTCTTACTCTTAGTTCGGTTCATTTTGTAATTCTGACTCCCTCTTAGTCCGGTCCATTTTGCAATTTAGGCTCCCCCCTGATTATATGTAAAAAAGAGTTTTGACTTCTTGGAGTGGAGACAAACCAGGCAGCTCAGTTTGTTGATAGAGGCCTTTTAGCTCATTTAGCTTAGTCTTTGTCTACGACAGACGCCAACCTATGTGCCTGGCCATTTTTTTTCTTTTTCTTTTAATGGTCAATAAATCTTATTAATTTTTATAATAAGACCATTAAATCCTTGTTTTCATATTGGTTCTAAATCTCCCAAACTTTCAACTTTACCTTTTGTAATACCTAATTATATATTTTTAAATTCATTAAATATTATTTTCAATTTAATACTCTAAAAGTTTTAATTTATTCTATAAAGTGTAATAATAGCAGAATTAATGGTTTTACTATTATTTTTTAAAGGTCCAGCAGGTGAGATTTAAGTCGTAGACGCACAACAGAGAGAATTCGAATTCACATTTAGTATACTAGATACAGTTTCTGTCCTACTATCTAAATATCTTTTTCCATTCATCTGTGTCACGCTTTTACGTCACGCTATTAAATTTTAATTTTTTTTGCTTTAAAAAGAAAAGTAAGATTTAAGCAATCTCTCACACACAACTGCAATATTGTCCTAAATAGAGCTTCAAGACGAATCGAATATGACTTTTAAGTAGTTTTGCCGTTTGAATGTTGAATTTTGGACCCCTTCTCTACTCTGCCAAGTCAACAACTGATGTACGCATTCGTGTCAAATATTAACTCTCACAACACACACACACACATTTAACACCGTGTCCATGCTTCTTATCCTGAGCCTTGACCCATTCCAACAAAGATCTCATCACTATCTTTCCTTTTCTTATTCTCTCTCCTTTTTATCACCTGCCAACTGAAATTTGAATCAAATGTGCCCCCCTTCCCATTTTTAGCAAATATTCCATTTCAACCCTTTAATCATGTAAAGTTTCACAGAATACCAAAAGCTTTTGCTAAGCATCTTTTCCTCAACTCAAACTCTCAGCCCTCTCAATTATTTCTACTTTATTCCCTGTATCAAATACACCATGATAATTTGTTTTTCCAATTGTAACATCAAGAATCGACAAATGTCAAACTACATTTTGAAGCATCAAATCGGGGATTTCAAACTTGGAATGGAAGGAAATTTTGTTCCGCTTGGTTCAGTTTTTTGAGAATAATTTTTTAATTTTTAAAAAATTGTACAAAAACCTGCTTGGTTGACCGTTAACCTAAGCTATGAGTTTATGAGCTAGGATTACTCGTCTGTTCACTTTCCCGATGTGACTACCTAATAACTGTTTTTGAAAACTCAGTTAAAAAAAGTATAGGGTTTGCTTGGTTTGTAACTCTGAAAACAGTTTTCAATTATTCAGAGAATTGAAAACAGTTATCAGAGAATAATAAAATACAGTTATCTGAAAACAAACTTTTTTATAACTGAGTTTTCAAAAAACAGTTTTCAGAAAACTGAACTAAACAGAGTTTTTTGTACAGTTTTCTATTCTCAGAAAACTGTTATCAGAGTTACAAACTAAGCAATGTTTTCAGATAACTGTCTTTTATAATTTTCTGAACACACTTCTCTATTTTTTTTGAACTGTTTTCTGAGTGACAAACCAAGTAGACCCACTAATTCGGTATTTTCAAATGCAACATTAATATATTTGACAACATTTATTTTATATTGATTCTTTGCGCAACATTAATACATTTTGACAACATTTGTTTTATATTGATTCTTTGCGAAACATTAATATATTATTCTTTGAGGCAAAAACGATAGAAGGAAATTCCATGAATGAAACATGATAAAAAAATAATAATAAAAAAATAAAAATACATAGTCACAAGCACTGTTGAATATCTTGTAAAAATTGATCTTGACAATGCACTTCAAAGGAAAAACAATAGTATTTGATGAACAACTAGTATTGTATTATATACAAAGCAAAAAAATGTCTATTTGCAAAAAGCAAAAACAGAAAACCTCAAGTTAGAAGAGGATTAACAAAAAAAATTTGTGCAGTTCTTTAAGGAACTGTTTCTGTTCAACTATAGCGGAAATCAATATGCCGCTTGATGTTTCATGATGAAGAGCAAGTCATTCAAGTTGCTGCTGTTTCTCTATATCAATTCATGTGCAACATGTTCATATCATTTGACCGTACCAAAATGAGAACTTGCATGATATACATATATATATATGTGTGTATATATATATATATATATATATACCTGTGCCAATTGTTAGCTATATTTGCATCTTTTTGTATTGTTGATGCAAAATTCAGCAGGTCCGGAGCGGGGGGCTTTCCTGCGAGAAAAGAGAAGTGACCACCAGCATGGTGCCAGCTGTGCACTCCAACGCTCAAGTTAGTACTTGAGCCGTTATAAGTCAAAGGAAGGCTCTGTTTCAGGACCGTGCTGAATTTTGCATCAACGGGATGCTGTGTATGGTGATCTTCCACTACTCTCCAAAACGATCTCAAACAAATCGCCTTCAGACTCCTCATCAAAATCCAGGCCTCTGTTGTTGTTTCCATTGTTATAGCCGGTTCTGGTTGCAGACCGGTTGAGCCACTGTGAGTCGATTCTTCCCATCGAGAAAAGCTCTTTGCTGTCTTCATATCCCAGAACTGGAGAATTCACAAGAGGGCCAATGAAGCAAGGATTGGGAGTTCTTTGTGCATTTGCTGCTGCATATTTGAATACACTTTGTCCGAAATTAACCAAAACCGCAGTGTCAGTGTTTGCTGCCAATGTTGGATAGAGTGGAGTCCCAAAATCCTCAGACTGGCAATGAATTACATGTACAAGTTCTGAATCTACCGTGAAGAACACCTTACCCTGGCTTGGATTGTACCCGCAACCAATCACCTTCTCTGTTTTCCCCCATTCTCCTTTTTCAGATTCAAACACAAGTTTGATTCCTGAGAAAGCAAAACCATCAATACACATTTCAATTTTTGAAGATACTAATGACAGAAAAAATATCATTTGCGAAGACATAGTATCACAAGCATAGAGAGGATAGTTGTAAGGTAGTGTAGAGCCTTATAATACTGTAATTCTTATTTCGAATTTTTTTGAGGATATTTTTGTATTTTCACACTTGTTGTATAGTCCTAATTCTGTAGCATAATGTGGGAGGTGGTTAAACATCCCGAACTCTCTAATTTTGTTATGCTCTTCATCATAATGAAATCTTGATACTATAACGCGGGGTGATGGTTAACCATTCTGAACTCTATAATTTTGTTATGCTCTTCATCATAGTGAAATCTCGGAGACTTTGAGGACGTAACCCTAATTTCCCTATGACATCTATTATTATGACATGTGAATGTTGGTATTCTACAAGCATTTGCCAGAAAAAAAATTGCAATTTGAGCATTTTCTAACAATGATCACTATTGATAGAAAAATAGAAGAGAGCTTACCATCAAGATAGACAGAACCACTAGAGTTGAATCCAATCGAGCCTGGATAGGTGCCCGGAAGCTTCAAAGGAAGAGCCCCTCCTCCGGTAAGCCCCACCGACACCGTCACAACTTCTCCTCCTCCTCTGCCATCATCCTTCCCTCCAAGTCTCAATTCTTCCAGCTTGTTATTGCCATGGCCATGACTATGACTACTTGTGACATGAACCAAAGATTCCGAATTCACTTTCCCATTAAAACTCTCTTGGATGAGCTTCGTCTTTTCGCCTTCCGTTGTCTTACCTACCTTTAGCTTCTCATGTTCATGATCTTGACTCGAAGAGGGCAAGATTGTAATTTCAAAGTAGGCTTCTTGGGGAAAAGAAGAATTCCCTAGAGGAGGACCTGGCAAAGGTAAAGCTGTCTTGATCACAGATTTTGCAGCCATGATGGAATTGCTGATATTGATCTTCTTCAACCCGGAATTCATCCTGATCTTCTGCATGAAATCCGCCGATCCTTGACATACTTCCCAACTGATCTCCACCTCCACCATTCCTCTGCTATAATCTCCGGCTGCGCAGACGCCCAACAAGGCCGACCTGGTGGATCTTATTGACGGAGAGGAAGTGTAGTTTACGAAAGCAAACCGCGACCACCCATTCTCGACAGCGTCAGTGACGAGGGCAGGATTGTCAGCCCAACTGAAGAGAGGTCTCGTCGAAGCCCCGCGTCGAAACAGAGAGTAATTTGCTCTGCTCTTGCTGTCTAGATGATCGGCTTGGCGGTGAACACTCACTTGGTGAAGCTGTGCAATCCCGGTTTGGATGCCCTCAGTTCTGCCCCTTCTCATGTCTGCTGCAACAGCTTTCCGTTGCTTCGAACAGCAACACCGCCACCACCGGATGAAGGCCACTGCGAGGACGATGAGGAGGCCGACGGAGGCTGCAATTACAGTAACACGTACCCATCTGTGCATCCCTCCTAATTCACAAGCACTGATTTTAATGTGTGGATTGAACAAAAGATGTGAATGTTTTGTAATACCATTAATTGTAAAAGAAGAAAATTTGAAGGAGGAGGGGTTTATATATATATATATGGTGGAGGAAATGGTTGAGAATGGCAGGCGTGGACTAAGTCTGGTTCAAGAAAGGCAGGAACAGAGTGGAAACAATTGAAAAGTAAACTAATGGTAAAGGAAAGGTGGCATTGTTGAGAGAGAGAGGGAGCATTAACATCATTCTTTATTGTCTCTCTCTATATATGTATATATTATATACATCATCTTTCTCTCTCTTCATTCTCATTAATTATATCATAACCGAGTCCCATTGTGTGCATTAATAAACGCGTTTGTTGATTCATTTCATTTTCAAAGGGGAGAGAGAGAGAGGGACAGTGTGAGACCTTCTAGAGAGAAGCAAAAATTGAGGCATGACTTCGAAATAGGGAGTATTTCTATTTTGTTGTTGTCTGACATAATGGATATCGTGAGGAGACAGTAAAGGCAATAAAGGGTACCTTAAAGATGGAGACTGTTAAAAGTTAATAAAGAAGTGGAGTAGAGACAGTTTTATGGTTAATAGTGTTGGTAGTTTCTTGTCTAGGGCAGTTAATCCACAACTTTAATCTCAATCATGTAACTCTTTAATCCGCTAATTTACGCTTTCATGTTTGTCAAGTTGTGGCTGAATTTTTATTTGGATAAATTACACTCACCTCTCTCTAGGTTTTTAAGACAAAAAAGGATCCTTTTGGTCAAATATTTTTTCTGAACTTCGTAAATCTCAATAGTGTAGTTCAAATTCAGACACGTCATCGTCTGGTTAGAGTTCATATTGAAGTTACAACTGGATTTGTAAGTGTTGGACTTTAACATGATGATGTGGCTGAATCTAAATCACATGATTGAGGTCTTTGATTTCAGAAGAGAGATTTGGCTTGAGAGATTCCAAATCCGTGGAGAAATTACATATGACTAGATTATTCAACATTTATTACTTTACAGGTGATTTCGAATGCGAAAAGTTAATAATGCCCTTTCATTATAATAATATTATATTACAAATTTTTGTTAACCTGAAAATTCTTGTGACGGTGTGTAATTTGCCCAGACTGAAGTCAATGTAATTTGCCCTATTATCTTCTCATACAAGGGAAGAACAAAATTATCATTTTATAAAATTTGGTCAAGTCAGAAAGAAAATGCAAAAGGTGTTATTGAGCACATGCGGTAAAACTCAAAGAAAGCCAAAGTAATAAATGTTGAATGATTTATCCGTATGTAATTTGTTCAAATCTCGAAAGAGGTCAGTGTAATTTACCCTTTTTATTTTGGTTCACATTGCAATTTAGTTTTGACTCAAAGAAATTATTTAAGTAGGTTGTATGTACTGTAGGTGGTGAACTCGTATTCTAATATCTGTTGTAACATCTTAGAGTGCTAGAATTTGTATTATGTGCATCAAAGAACACTGAAAGCGGAACAAAATTTCTTAGTAAATTTTCTTCATGGACATGTCAAACTACGTAAATCATTATGTCTTGTGTGATGCATATTTTACGTTTTTTCCAGTCATTTTTTGATTGTGGTTGTGGTTTGTCCGTATTTACCCTGAATAACATTATTAATCAAGAATTTGTCCCGACCGTTTTCATGATGTCAGGGTCATTTGTTCGAATCTTCTTTCTTAAAACCATCTTACATGGGATCATTCTGAACTCAGCTGAAACATGACTTGGAGAATAGAGAGTCCAAGGGTAATAGGTCATACCCTATAGACTTATTAATTAGCATTGATTAGCATTGGCTTACTTGTTAATTTGAATGTTCTGTAAAACTTACAGTGAGATTAATTGTGATTAATTTGAAGATATTCGGTGGCTATGGCTAATAGAAAAGAGTATGTCATAGTGCTTTTTGTATGTTATACCTAGAAAAGGTCTATCATCATTGGCATACAAACCTAAAATATGTATTTTACAATAAATTAAGTGGAATCCTGATCTGTACAATCTTCAAATTTAAATATCAGAATCATAATATATAGTATTCAATTCAGTAGCCCCACTCCACCAAAGCTTAACTAGTTAAGATGTTGTTTTCACACACACACACACACAAAAAGAAAGAAGAAAAAATAAAGTCATCCAAGCTATCTATAATAATCATGTGATTAACACTAGTAATTAATGTATAATATTCTTTTGTGATATATATATATATATATTTTATTAACAAAAAATACATTTACACACTCACAATGTTCTTGTGAAAATTTGAACCCTCGACCTTTCTGCCTTTGATGGTAGTGGTTTAGGTGGAGAAAGAAATCACTAAGATAATGGTTCTGAATCCATAACTCACTAATGTATGTATAACCAAAAGGTTCAAAATCATAATAATTATCAAACATTCTTCCAATAGGAAAATTGGTGACTAAAGAGTGGTTGGAAGCAAGCACTAAAGAGAACTAAAAGTGGTTGCCATGTCTATTTATATAAAAAAACATAAAATGTCAACACCAGCATATAAACCAGCTGGTACATGCATCTAATGATGCTTAGGGGGGAATAAATTGCTTCATTACCTGCTTAATTTGACATTATTCGTATCAATTTCTTTAATAAGAATGATGGTTCGCATTTTTTGTATGGTACCAATTTTGTATGATAATATACGCATGTGTATTTTGGTATGTGACCTCTTTGTTGGGCTTGTATCCCAAATTCTTGAAGACTGATGATGTTCGAAGCAGTCTAACAGGTCTAACTTGAGTTCGACCGGTCCAACTCGTTCTTGTCGTAACACTTCTCTGAGTCTCATAGGTCGCACTTTAAGTCCAATCGGCCGCACTTGCTTGATAAGTTATGGATTTACTTTCTTAAATAGAAGATGTTCTTTCCTAGAGAGTGTAAACTTGTGGAGGAAATGGTGTCTCATTTACGAATTGTATCTAGTGTACCGAGTGTGAGTTTCGAATCCCATCTAATGTGTAATTCCGCGACTTAAATCTCACCCATGTCATGGGACTTTTACGGGTAACAATTTGAAGACATTCTAAAAAAGAAATTGTGTCTCATTAAGTTTTTATTATTTGAGTTGTTATATATTTGGTAACTTCTTGTTAGACAATGTATAAGAATCCTTGTTCAAGAAGGAATTGATTAAAGACTTTATAAATAGAGGTAGAGTTGGGTATGCTATAAGAAATAAAGACGAATAAGAAAGTGAAATAATGCACACAATTATCATTGATTCACTGTGTTAATTATATACAGGTAAAACCCTATCTAAGTATGGTAAATAAATAAAGGCAGATCCTAATTATATGATACAGTCAACTATCAAAAACAGGAAAACTAATTACATAAATTGCTGCTATAATCGGGATATTTACGTAAATGTTGCAGTGAATTAGTAGAGGATTGCGTTGACAATTGAAGCTTCATTGATGAAGGAGTATCTCTAATATGCCCCCGCAAGATGGTGCTCCCATCAGAGACACTAATCTTGGACTGAAGATACAGAAGTCGCTGCCTTGACATTGGTTTTGTGAGAGCATTCGCGAGCTGGTCCTTGTCACGAACAAAGTGAAAATCAATAGCGATGTGTTTTATCCTAGAATGAAACACGAAGTTGGCGCATAAATAAGTAGTTCCCACATTGTTATGGTAAATAGTTGGCTATTGTGGGAGTGTGACACAAAGTTCCTTTAGTAAGGATTGAATCTATGCTAATTCAGCAGTTGTTGCTGCAACCGCTCGGTACTCGGCTTCTGTTGAGGAACGAACAACAGAACGTTGTTTCTTGAAGCTCCACAAAATTGGATTATGACCCAGAAAAATAACATAGGCACTGGTGGAGGTGCGATCATCCTTATACCCCACCCAATCATCATTTGAGAAGGCATGAAGATGTAGTGGATAGTTATTTTTGAGAAAGAGACCATAAGACATCGTGCCCTTGAGGTATCAAAGAAGATATTTGGCAGTAGCCTAATGAAGAGTAGTGGGCTTATGCATAAATTGTGAGAGCTTGTTCACTGTGAATGCAATGTCCGAACGGGTGATTGACAAATATTGAAAACTGCTGACAAACCGTCGATACTTTTAGCATCAGAGAGGTTGGTGTTGCTCAAGTATTGACTCTAGAGGGGGGTGAATAGAGTCTATGGCAAACAATAACCAATTTTTGGTTTTAATTGTTTTACAAAATCTAATAAACACCTTATAACAATTATGCAATAACCAGGAAATAAACTCAAGCAATTAATAGCACAATTGTAAAAGAGAAAGGGGAAAAGAAATGCAAACACTTGATACAACGATTTAGCGAGATTCAGTAACTCCTACCCCTCAGCTCAAGATCCTTCTTAAGACTTTCCCAATCCCACTATGGCACCTCCTTACGGGTGGAGAGCAAACCGGTATAAGAAGCACACCGCTTCTAATTTTTCTTGCTAATAGAACAATCCTCTCTTAGACTTCTGCTGGATCACACCGATCCTTACAATTGATTGTAGATAGAAATTTGTTGCACAAGAATATCTTTTAAAGATTGATATGCAAATCAAGGCTCACAATTAGAGTATAAATGAATACAAAAGAAGCTCAATACTCTATGAATGATATGTATGAGAGGATGAAGAACAAAAGCTCTTTGATACTCAAGAAGGTTTCTCTATTTCTCTCCGATGCATACCTATAATGTCTAAACATTATGTATTTATAACCCCTTTGTAATGTGTCATACAAAATTAAGGAAGACTCTTAATGGTGAAGATGCTGCAGCTCTTGAAGTTCCAATTAGTAGGGAGGAAGTTAAAGGAACTCTTTTCAGTATGGGGATGGACAAAGCCCCTGGACCAGATGGTTTCACAGTTAGATTTTTTAGAGATTATTGGGATGTCATAGGAGTTGAGGTTACAGATGCAGTGCTGTAGTTCTTCAACCATCCTATACTAGGTAAAGGGTTGAATAGTACCTTTATTACATTGGTTTCCAAGGCTAAGGAGGCTATTAAGGTAGGGGAATTCAGACATATTTCCCTATGTAACTTGCTATACAAAATTATAACCAAAATCTTGGCCGATAGGCTAGGATTAGTATTGGACAAAATTGTGGGCAAGGAGCAAAACACTTTTGTTGGTGGAAGGAAAATTCAAGATAATTTGATATTAGCCAGTGAGTTATTGAGGGGCTTTGGTGCCAAGCATACTAAACCTACATTGGCCTGGGAGGTGGACCTCAGAAAGGCTTATGATTCAGTTAGTTAGAAGTTTTT